ACCGACATCGGAGCCAACCGTAAAGTCCAACATGCCTTGAGCTGAGTGGCGCGACCAGCTGTGAATTCGCCCACTGGGCCAAAGCAAGTGTGCGTTTGAGGGGCTGGGCTGGTGGTCCTTGAATAGGCATCTGCTGACAAACACAGTCATGGCCAACTTGTTTTCTAACATCTGGCAAAGGGATTGGCCAATTAAACAGTGCCTGAAATGTCACTTGCTTCTTGTCACGCCACACAATGGCAAAGAGCTGCGCAAGAGTGTAGCCGTTTGTTCCGAATCTGTGAGGGTTTGGGCTATGTGCTGGTTCCATACAACCACGGCTTTCGAGCTTCGAGCCGATCCCGTCTTTTCAACTTCTGCTCCATGTGAGTTCAGTACTGGAAAGCTTGAGCCACTCACGCGAGCAAACGTCACACCCGCACACTACGTACCAATCGTAGGGAAAAGTTGCTATCGATCAGCCAGTGTTGAAAAATGAGGTATTATAAACATGAATATTACAAGCATGAATACGTTCGAACCCGATAGGAAACGCCTCTAGGTGTCCACTTGGTTTCCCTTTACAACCTTGTTTCATACTGGGATACTATGGAAGTTGCCAGCGACTCGGCCTTGCTCAGGCCTCGCAAACTGTGACTGCACTCGCTTCCGCCACTCGCTTCTTGGCTGCATGCTTGTGGCTCCGAACAGAGCCCTACAGTTCCCATGACGAAAAGAGGTCCCCGAGATTGGGAAACGGCCGCTCACGGGCACCCGAAGCTTCATTCATCTAAAATGTTCAATACATTGGAGCAGAGCCCAAAACTTGTTGACTGTTGGTTCCGCTAAATCGCTTATAGCGGTCTACAGCATGTGGGTATGCTATACTCCGGAAGCAAGGAGAAGTATCACTTGCTGCTGAAACCTTCCCAGGATTTGGGCGCTCAAATGGGCCGTCCCTTCGTTTGAACACCATTGGGTACAGGCTCCCGATGCGTTTTGGGCCCTCAAACAGCCAGGTTTTGAGAACCCCAACTCCGTTCCGAAGGTGAGGGAAACAGGTTCTGCCCCAGTGAGTGACTGGCAGGCACAAAGCCACAGCGCCTGGTGGTGGTGGCAACCTGTCGGATCGATCGATCCCGCGCTCTGTTTCCCGTCTTCAGGCGTCCTGAGGTTTCGGAAGGACAAAAAAAGCCGAAAAGGATGAGCCGCAAAATTCCACGTGTTGACTGCCAAAACGTAAAACCCTGCCGCATGGGAATTCCTGGAGGTTTCCCTTGCAAAAGGCGCAAGGGGCGCCAGTTCTCCAAACAAAAATCCGAGGCGACTTCGGACATCGGATGAACGCGTGTACCACAAACCATATACCCCTCCACTGTTGGCTGTGCAATACATGGCTTTTCGGAACCATTAGGCAGATACGAAGTTCTTGGTCCATGGTCTGGATGACTGCCCAGTTGGGTGTCCTTCCTCTAGATATTGCATCATGGTTTCCCTTGGCTACCTACTATGCCGGCAACTGGAACTGGGTTCTATTTGGGGAACCTGATTGAAACCATCGGCGGCTAAAGAACTGCGCCTCTCAAGCTGGCCTAAGCAACATGATGAGTAAAAGTACATTGCGCAATTCCTGCAAGTTTGAGTAATGTTGACCCCGGATTAGTGAACCCCCGTTTATTAATATGGGGGTGTCCCTGGTTTTAGTGGGGAACACCCCCATATTAATAAACGGGGGTTTATTAATCCGGGGTCAACATTAAGTATTTTTTGGATGTACATGGTCAGGCTGTAACAACCCTCTGCAAAACGTGCTGATTTTTTCTGGGTCCAACTCGGAGATGTTCTAAGTTTTTTCAACCAAAAAGTTCAAGTCCAAAGATCCGTCGCCAAATAGCCATAAAGTATAAACCTACTTCTACTCAACAATTGGTTCACACTTTTTTTGCTTGAGTCAGGAACAAACATCAACATATGCCCAGTGAAATCGATTCCCTTAAAAACCAACCGGGGCAAATTACAAGCAACAAAGAAGCATATTCCTTTCTGCAAATGCAACCCCAAAGCATTTGGGGACCTCGGGGAAATTCAGGTGGAAAATAACTTAAGTACTCCTAAGACCAACATCAACATATGCCCAGTGAACTCGATTCCCTCAAAAAAACGAGAGGGGGAAAATTAAGCAACTGCAAGTTCTGGTCGTGTTCCCAGTCTTCAGCTCAGCGAGGCGAATTGATTCGATCCAGTTGCAACGTCGCCCAAAAATCAGGGGGGCCATGGCTCACCCGTCTCAACATCGGGGCTGCCCTCAGATCCCCCGCTAAAAGTTTAACTGTTAGTGGCTTAAATGGAAATCCCTACACACCAAGATGGTCAAACAACTAAGGGGATGGCTGGGAACCACCAAGACATGTGTCACTTGTTGCAGGCTTCTCGGGGAAAAAAAAGACAAACTGATCATGGTCCCCACAAAACTAATCAAAAGGTTTGAGATCCGACCCAATAGCATTCAGCGTAAAACCCGGAACCTCGCATGGCTTGCAATCCTGAAGATCCGATCAAAAAGACAGCAACAAAGTCCCAGGTGAGTGAATGAGGTCCCTCGGAATCACTCAATATTCAAAACGGGAACCGACCACATCCGACCTCGGTTGCTTTCTGCTCCCCTGCTACAAGTTGTCCACTTCTAGTTGTTTAATACGGAAAACCCATTAGTTGGCAAACAGTTTAATGGAACACCCATTACTTGCGCCACATCCAGCCACTAAACACTTGCAATTACCACTTTGGCATTCACCGTAGCTCAGCTTCTGTTTGACTCTGGTCCACATGTAGAGAACTGTACAATGCAGATCCCAGCAAACAAGATCAAGAGATCTCAGAGAAAAATGGTGGTGTAAAAGCAACCATCTTGCCAAATACATACATACATATATATATATATATGCATATTATACTTGTTTTACATAATTTCAGGATCCCTGCCAATTCTTCAGCTGCCACCTGCCACAACTCTTTCAGCAACCCTCCATATCTTCAGCCGCCACCTGCCAAACCACCCAAGGGACCGCAGGCTGTAGTCCTTGGTTTCCATTTACCAGGGCAAGCCATTTTGGGTACGAATTTGACAACCACAGCCTCGAGAAGAACGGGCCCGCACGCCTCTGCAGGAACTCGGTCTTCGGGCTCCTCTGGCTTGGCTCTGGCCTGATGCGCTCCACGCTCCCGAGTCCCGAGTCCGAGTCAAGTCGCTGGGCGGCGATGGCTCCCAGCTGGAATGAGTTGGGTACCTGTTGAGTGCGTCTTTTGTTCGGGGAACCTCAAAATGGCTTCGGTCTTCCTGTTGGTTTCCCTTCAAAACCACAAAAACAAACAGGTACCGAGCCTCAAAAAGCACACGAATCCATGTCTGAATTTGCTGGTCAGGCGGTGAACACATTGTGTGGTCGCAGTTGTCAGCTCCATGATTCACTTATGGCGACCGTTCATGTGTTTCATGGTCATGGCTCCCTGCATGGGAATCCGTACCATGTCAAAATCCCCGAAGGATTTCCATGGCTTACCAAGGGAAATAGTAATTTGACCATGGCTTCCATTGAATGAGAAGGAGCATCCCCCCCAAGCATATGGAACCTGTAGTGGGAAGAGGATTGCACGAAGTAGGACATGAGAGCCATGAAGAGATTCTCTATATTGAACCAGGCCCTTGAAGCAAGTAAAGTCAATTGGCTGTGGGTCAAAACCAATGGAACCATTTTGGGATAGGTGAATTCACCACCCATTTTAGTCTATTTTAGTGGTTGGATCGGGATGTTCACTGGGGGTACGATTTGGATTTTGACCCATGGCCAATTCTCTTCAGGTTTCAGCAATTGGGTTGGTGTTTAAACACAGCCCCCAGCGGCCTGAGAGAGGCTCGCACCGAGAAATTCCAGGACCATCTGCAACCCGCAGGCTTTTTGGACCATTCACACGGTCCTGTGTTGGACCCCTAGGTCCTCCAGTAGAGGTTGGTGAGAATAAGTTGGTACCCGATCTTTTTTATGTAGCCTATTTTAGTAGGGGAACCCTCCAGGGCACTGCTGGGGGACCTAGCCTTGTTTGTATTTCTGCGCAAGATGCGCTGGAACACAAGTTTTCAACTTTTAGTGGTTTAGTGGAAAACCCATTAGTTGGCAAAAAGTTGTTCAGTCCTAACAGCCAAGCAAAATGCACCAAAGAAAACATCGAATTGGAGCCTCTGGGCAACAAATGCATCCATCTCTTCAGCCGGGGGCACGGCTGGTGCTGGGCACGCTTGAGGGAAAGGGAAGCGATGGCTCGCCTGAACGGACCGGCCACTTCGCAGTTGGGATGGAGCTAGCCCTGTGGATGGACGAACTCCATTTCGCACCACTTTGAAGCCATGGGAAACCATTTGTCTGTGGGGTTGAAACCATGGGAAACCATTGTTTGTGGGGTTGAAACCATGGGAAACCATTGTTTGTGGGTTTGAAACCATGGGAAACCATTGTTTGTGGGTTTAACACCATGGGACACCCTTGTTTGTGGGTATTTACATGAGAATCGTGCTGGATTTTGTCCATCCACCGTATGAACCAAATAAACCAACTGCTGCCGATCGGCCCTGAGTTTGTCCATCTACAAAAATGCTCAAACGGGCCGAAAACAAAAGGTTAACCCTAGGGGCAATGACTAAAAATGGACCGGAATGGGGAAATCAAAAGGTCAACGGTCGGCAAGTGAGATCCACAAGGTCGGCAAGACCCCTTGAAAAAGAATATTTCCAGCAGTTGTGCATTTTCTTTAAGACAACCAAGGAAAAACAACCAAACGCTGAAGCAGATGGAAGCATTCATTTTATGGTCATCCTTTTGAGAGCAGCGACCCTGCAACACGGCTCCAGGTGCTTGCCTTCACATCACAACTCTCAGGCGAAGCTCAGCAAGGGAAACATGGGTGTCCCTTTTGAGGGAACCCACTTCGGGTTTGCAAGGGCAATGTTTTTTGGTTCTGGACCCCGGTTAAAACTCGCTGGTGAGAATGCCTGAAACCGCAACCCAGAGTTCCAGATGTCCGCTCATTGAACCACGGCGCCATTTTGCGGAATCCCACCCCATTTCACCTTACCCCCAGTTGGTGGTTTGGTCTGGTGATTTGGATGTTCGCAGGTTTCCTTACCCATTTGGCTTCAAAGGACCTAAAGTTCATCCGCAAACCGATCCGCCACTTTGGGGTCACCGGACTTCCAAAAACAAGCGGGCGAGGGCACCTGTTGGGCGGTGGTCCAAAGGAAACTCCCAGGGAGTTGAAAAACTTGCGCTCCGCCTTGGCAGCGGATTCTTCATCTCAAGGGAAAAAATCATCTTCGCCCCTGCAAAAGGTCCAACTGTTTTGGTGATCGCTGAAAGGGACAAAACCACCGCGAAAACTAAAGAGGCAAACAAAATGCAAGTTAAGCTGGTGGCATCCCCAACAGCAACCCCCCATTAGCACCCTTCCGCCACCCGAGCCACTAAGCGGAGCCTTTGAGTGTCACCCCTTTGGTTTTGTTTGGTGGCTTTAAAGGGAAACCACCGGAAAAAACCGGGTGGTTTCCATTTTGGGGACCCGGTTCCAAATCCAAAAAAGACTCGACACGCCTCTTGGGGCCGATCGACCCCAAAACGTTGCAGCTGTTGGAGGTCTGAGTCTGGCACCTCCAAAGGCGCGTAGTGACGATCCAGGCTGGGCCTCAACGCGCGCCGCAGACATGGGGCCGACTTCGCGAGTTAAAAGACCTCAACTAGGCTCTCCAGTAGAGGGGTTAGAATAAGTCTAGGGCCTAGGGGTTGATTCCCCATTCTGTTCAACCATCGTTTTTTTCCAAAAACCGGATCCGTTTTCTCTGCGTTTCCGGAGGTTTTGTAGAAAGAAGGATCCCTGGAAAGAATGGGGAAGGTACCCCTAGAATTCGGGTACCAACTTTTTTCTGCGGTCTTTTTTAGTAGGGGAACCCTTCCAGCCAAAAAAAAGGAGAGAAGGGCACCTAGCTGGGGGAGCTAGTCAATGTCCGAAAGGAGCAGGATCAAACCAAAGAGAAATCAGAAAATATCAAGGAGATAGGCGCTGTCAAACTTATATACATATATAATATATGTTGCTTTCACTGTCAGTTACCACAATGGACTAATGTGTCCTCATTCTACCCGACCCGCAATTACTCCATGACCCTTCGCAGTTCAGAGGCGCTCATCAGAGGCTGCAGTAATGAAATGAAAACTTACTAAAAGGAGTCTTCATCCAAGCAGTAACCCAGACCCCAGTGGCTACAGGAAAAAACAAAAAACCTGGTGGGTTTTTGGTTTTAAAGGGAACCCGCTTTCACACAAACATAAGGGAACGCAACCCACAACCGGAAGTTGAATCAAATTCAACAAGAAATCCTGGTGTCCTGGTGGCCCTGGCATAGAAAAGGCAGTGGAGTTGCTCGCCATCAATAGGCAAACTCGGTGGCGAAATCTGCAAACCCCTGCTAAAAGTTGCTCACTTTTAGTGGTTTAGTGAAAAACCCATTAGTTGGCAAAAAGTTGTTCAGTCCTAACAGCCCTTGGCAAAATGCACCAAAATCAAAATGTGTGTGTGGGCGACCTTTTTTTTGTAGAGCAACCTATTCTTGGCGTGTAGAAGGGGAAACCCAAAGGAACACCTTTTCTCGCCCTCAAAAGTTACACCTGCAAGGAACCCCAAACAGTGTGAATAGGAAACAAAGACAACGGAGCCAGTGGATCTCTAACAACGAAAAGACAATTCTCTCCCCCTCAAAACCAGACTCCCCGCCCCACAAACAGGCCATCCGCTAAAAAAGAGCAAAGAAAACGGAAGCAAGTCTATTCCCCCCACCCCCCCACAAAGAAAAAAACACAAAACCACCAACGGAAACACGTCTATTCCCCCCCCCCAGCCCCCCCCCGCAACAAAAAAAAATAAACAAACCAAGAAAACACACAATCGGAGCCCTCCTTACCAACTCCGCGACGCGCCGAGTTCCGAGTTCGATCACCCGAGGCAAGCGCCTGGACCTGCCACGACGCGATGGATCCGAGCCGGCCGTCCCCCCACGGGACCCCAACACTGTGAATAGGAAACAAAGACCACGGAGCCAGTGGATCTGTAACGGAAAAACCCATTCTCTCCCCCACAATACCGGACTCCCCCAAAAGCTGAGGGGTGTAGCAGTGTAGCCGCTTCTTGTGCGCTATTTTTGCGGTGAAAGAGGATGAGAGAGGGGACAATGCAGCTAAAACCTGCAAAGAGGTAGTTGTTTTCCAGTATTTGTTTTTTTTGGGGAGGGGTACCATATATATATATATAATATGTAGATACATATATATATATATATATGTATATATATAATGCATAATCACTACGCACGAATATTGTAGGGCCGCCCAAATTGACCGCTTTCCTTCTGCTCCTTTCTGAACCAAGCAACCGGACAAGGGTAGCCAAGAGAAAAACCCACACCCAGTTGTGTCTGTGGGAGCATTTCAAGTCAAAGGCCTGCCTTTATCCTCTTAAGAGACATGGCAAAGAAAAAACTCTCAGGGTTGATTCCCTATTCTTTTTAAACATCGTTCTTTTCAAAAACCGGATCCGTTTCCTCTGCGTTTCTAATGGCTTCCTGAAAAGAAGCATCCCTGGAAAGAATGGGGAAGGTACCCCTAGAAAAACGACCAAAGGCGATACGCCCGCTCAAGTGACTAATGCACAGACGTCTACCCAAAACCCTCAGTACGCTCCCGCAGAACAACAGCATGGAACCCAAAAACGACCTCAACAGCCTTGTTCTGGGACCCACTTTTTGGGTAGTGATACCTTAATTGTGGAGTAAAGCACTCAGAGGGCAATCCGTTCTACACCTACCAGTACTTAAGGCAAGGGGCTGTCCCCTACTACAGCTACCCGATGGAAATCGCGAGGCCAAAGGGATAGATCCCCACCAAAACACATGAGCCATTCAACGGGAGACCCTTTAGACAGGAATCTCCCTCGAAGTCCCGTACGTGTGTGATGTCCAACCAGGGCTACTTCCCGAACCTTGGTATAGTAGCAACAAACTCTGCTTATTGTCAATCAGCTTCCCTCAAAGTGGCTTGGTGGTGAAATGGCGCGGATCCCATTTACCCTCTGCAAGAAGGGCTTCAAATCCCCAAACTAACGGGCTCCAAATTATCACTTCGTAGTTACCTGAGAACAAAAAAAAAACAAGTTAAAGAAACGAAACAAGCAACTCACTTGCCCAAAGGACCTAGAAATAAAAGGTGAACCTTTTGAGGCCATGACTAAAACTGGACCAAACTGGGAAAACCAAAAGGTCAAAAGGTTGGCTTTGGACAACTGAGGCAAAGAACAGTGAAGGCTGTTAACCACAAAAGATGTCAACCGGCGAACTGGCGCGGACGCAGCGGTGCATTTTCTTTCCGATGCTCTCCCTCGGCCTGGCGAGCAGGGACACTTTTTTCGGGGTGCCCAATAGCCCTCGCCGCACCATAGACTGGACAAATTGAGAGTAGCTCCTTTCCGAACGAGTGGAGGGCCAAGAAAAGTAACCAAACTTTTTGAGCGTTATTGGTTTAAATCCCGAAAGTGAATGTAGTTCATGAACTTAGGACGTGAGGTAGGCTAAATTAGCCCAGATGGCTGGGGTTCGGTACCTTTTCTCTCCCTTGTGGGTATTACGTAAACCCCTTTGTTGGACACAGTTGCAAGACATGTGTGTGTGCTTTACCATTCCGAGTTCAGCAAATGCAGGGGGCATTTCGAATCAGAGCCAAAAACTGCGATGTACTACGCATTGCGCACAATTTGAGCAATTGATCAACAATTGACGACCGGGTGTGACGGCTTTTACTGCCAAGGCCCCCACCAAGAGAAACTCAATAAACAATGGCCGTGGTTCAGAGCACAGCCCTGACTTGGCTTACCGTGGAAACACTCACAAAAAAGGGCACCCTTTAAAAAAGACCCCCCCACATATTCCTTTTTGCAGACCCCATACCTCCAGTTCTGAAAAAACAAATCGGGCGTGGATAGCACAGGCTGGGCTCGCAGGGGGAATCAAGAAACATTGTGAAGGAAGTAAGAACATTCCAGGAAGCCCAGCTTCAGGATCAAACAGTCATCCAAGCCGGGATTTGAATGATATGGATCTGCCCTGCTGGGTCAAATGACCTTCGCTCAATCCGCGGCTGAGCGAGCCAAAAAACCACGGGTCGGTCTTTGGACAACAGCTTGCGCAAGACTATTTCTGTCTCACCGCTGGAAGAGTGATTTGCAGGCAAAGCAATTCCCCCTTCAACGTTTTACAATCTTGTCGTGGAAGGTACCCCCCTGGTGTTGTGGCTGTAAATATTGGCCACACAATGCAATGCTGCCTGTTCCGTACGTCACATCAAGAAAACAACTGAAATAATCTAGGACACTTGCCTTCACTTTCAGATTGGCAGGAAGCACCTTTACATACCTGGCAAAAGTAGGCTGACGATACTCTGCAACTTGTATGACCAATCTAGGGGTTGATTCCCCGTTCTTTTCAACCATTGTTCTTCTTAACACGGGGCCACCCCAAATGGCGGTTGGGCGTCCATGTCCCCTTCAAATACCAACCAAAAGGGGATTCAACATTTATTTGGCTGTGGGTCAAAAATATGTACCCAAAATGGAACCCTAGTAAATGGAAACATGGACTAAAACCTGCGGTCCCCTGGTGGTTTTATTTTGACCCATACCCATTTTGAGAACCAAGTAGACAGCTCACTATTTCAAGGTAGACTTTCTTCCCCGAGCCCAAAAGGAAACTAGCGTTGCAAGGTCAACCCATGGCTATGACAGTATGATCAACAGGGGGTTACTTTACATATATTGCACCATGGTCACAATCCACTTAAATTAAACATCCAAGCAGCCAGGGAAAATCAAACCTAGGCCCTCCAGTAGAGAGGTTAGAATAAGGGTACCCTTTTTTTCTGTAGTCTGTATAATTTTCTGTAGTCTGTTTTAGTAGGGGAACCCTACCCCAAAAAAGAAACGGTAAAAGGGCACCTAGCTGGGGGACCTAGAAACATTCTTCAGCAAATGGCATTTCAGCGGGTCCCGCTGGACACGCTCCCCGCCTTGCGATGATACCAGAGGTTGAGGCTCAAGGCCGTGCAGCTGTCGTCCGGTGTGGTGAAGACCGCGTGGTGCCATCTGGAGGGGATGTACCTAGGCGTCTCGATCCCCCCTGCAGCCACTTCCCAGAAAATCTTCTTACATCACCCCCACTTGGTTGATGGAAGGGGAGAAAAAATGTAGATTTTAGCAGTTAAGTGGGGATTTCCCACTAAACCACAATAAGCCAAAATGTAAAATATATCCAAAAAACAAACATGCCCAAACGGCAATTCAGGTCAAATTGGCCTTCGGTCGCAACTCCTGGTCCGCAGGAGGTTATCATTGGCCCCACAAGGTGATGTTTCAAGCCTCCGAAAGGCAAACTGAAGAAAACACACGGAGCCAATTCCCACTTTGAAGGTATGATAGGTGTCATAGGTGCCCTTTTAGAGGAGATAGATGGCCCTGGAAATGGAAGACCCATCTAAACCAGTTTAAGCAAACCAAAAGGAGGACATATGGGTACGCCAAGAAACACCACGGTTCTCCAAAAAATATCCCGCAGTCCCGGTCACACTCAGCGGTTTCCCCAGAAAAGAATCAAATGACGAAGCCCATCAAAGCAACAGGTACCGCCCGAGTCCCAAGAACCAGAGGTGCCTTCCTCAGACGAAACCTGACGGGGTTCACCATTAAATCAATGGGGGCTCATACAACCACCATGGCTTACCTAAGGGTTGTCATCCAAATTGGGTCCCAAGGCCATTCTTTTAATGGGGGTTGCACCCCAGGGCTCATGCTTGTTCCATTACACCTGGACCTGGTTTCGAGATGGCTAGCTGAACAAGCCGAACCGAACAGATACTACTTGGGCCAAAGCCCCAAGGTTCAGGTTTTTGCTGCGTCTAACCCCTTCAGCCGAGAAGTTGAAGCTAGTAAAACCAAATCGTCGGGGGCTAGTGGGACCCCCTGTTCACCAACCGAAGTCCCAAGTCATACGAGACTCCGTCAAAACTGGGCTGTCCTCAGATCCCCCGCTGAAAGTCTAGCTTTTGGTCGGTTAAATGGAAATCCCCACTAAACACTAAAAAGCTAAAAAGCCAGGGGCATGGCTGAGAACCACCAACAAACCCAGGGATCCCTCTTCCTTTCCCTTCAGATCCCTTCAGGCTCCATGCGTATGATCCCTAAAACCCCTATGCCTCGTCTCGAGGAGCCGCACCCATCTGCGCGCGGTACTATACTTAACTTAAATAAAATACCTTGGTATATGGGCAGTATGGGCAGCCACCTACAAATGAACAGACCCCCACAAAAAACCGGGGGGGGAAACCAAAGACAAAAACAACGAAAACAACGATGAAGTATAACTAATCTAGAATTGAGGAGTAAGGCGACTGTCATCACACGTGAGCTGGATTTACCCCGCTATAGCGAGGTCCTGCCTGGATTTCCCAGAAAAAAACTCCACACTAAGTTAGTTGTGACTATGGTTGTATGTCAGCCAAATTATGCTGCGCCACCGAGACACCGAGAACCATGGTCATATCCTGTTTGACTTGTCCCTCCCAAAGTCATATGTCTAGATGCTGGTCCATACTTTGCCTACCAACAAGTAAACCATACTTTTGGAGACCCGAAGACCAGCATGTCAACACCACGTGCTCGGGGCCAGTTGCAATCCGACAAGTCTCAAAGATCCTTCGGTACGTCTGAAAGAACAACAAAGATCAGGTTGAACATCTGCTGGCTCCTCTCAAAGGACATGGAACCCAGAAGATGGCTCGTTTCCACTTGGTTTCCCTCCCCAAGACTCACTTCCTGAGATGGGCCGAAAGCGCGAAAACTGTTTGAGTGCCACGTATGAATGGTCCAAGCCCAGAAAGTGACTAAGGTCCATGAACTCACCCTTGCTGATGTCTTGGAGAAGTAAAACATGACTTTTAATGGTTTCTGTTTGAGGTCCCTAGTAAAGACCCAGTTTAGCGAGCTGGAAGATTAGGGTCAGAAACATCGAGCAAACTACGACTGCCGCGCTGCAGCACGTCGCCGGCTTGCAGGTCGCAGGTCATGCCCTTTGCCTGCCATGAGTCAAGAGACCGAGGCGTTTGCAGTAGCGAGCCGAGCCAAAAAGGGCAGCATCCATGGATTTTAAACTATCTACGAACCCTTCCAGGCAGCCCATAAATCCAGGGGTTGATTCCAACCATTCTTTTTAACCATCGTTCTTTTCACAACCAGACAGTTTCCCTGGGTTTCCAGGGGTTTTCTAGAAAGATTCGGATCCCTGGAAAGAATGGGGAAGGTACCAGTGGAATCAAATCTTTTGGCGGTTTCATGGAAAACCCACTAGTTGGCAAAAAGTTAAAGTTCTAACATCCAAGCAACATGCAACAAAGATAGCACTTGGCGCATCGTGGCTGTCGACGGAACCACAAACGCCGTGAAATTGCCTCCATGGCCCCATGTCCAAAAACATGTCAAAAACATGGTCAAGGCCAGCAAAGGCCGCCTGCAGGTGGGACTCCGGACCATCCCCCCAAACAAACGCATTAGGTTCTAAAGGAGGTTCCAAAGTAACATGCCTTGATCAGCACACAGATCTCATGTTTTGTTTTGGGACGGGGGAGCGCCTTGCGTGCAGAAGGGTGAAGCCCAGGATTTTCTCTCAAAAAATAAATCCCCTGTGTCCTCCTGGATGACAGAAAAAAAGTCCAACCAAGCTGAACACCCTATGGAATACATCCATCTTCAGCCAAGCTGAAATTGGACTCCATCCCACAGGTTTTAAACCAAAGTGACTACAGGACACCGCGAATCCCAGGAAATGACTTCCATTTGCTTGTTCGTCCCCTGGAAAAATGAGAAACTATTCCAGTAGTGAAATCGATTCCCTTAACAACCAACAGCGGACAATAACACATATTCTTAAACACACATGCTTGGTTGCTGTTGATCCCTCTGCACATTGTTCAACATTCTGCGGGTTCAATGGAAAAACCCTTGATTTCAACCAAAAGGTTCAGAATGTGACTCTCTTGATTTCAATGGAACCCTCTCGATTTCAATGGAACTCTTTTTTTGTTTAAAGATCCGTTCCCCAAGAGCAATCAATGGAAGACAACCGTCTCGCCATCCGGCTCGGAGGCCTCCTTGTAACTGTCCAGCAACTCCTTTGGCAGCGCCGGCTGAGCCACGTCGATCACCGAGTGGCCTCGGCCGCGCGCGGAGGAGCCCTGAGAGGCTCTCTGTCGCCCTTTGCACCCTGGGAGTTCCACCTTAAACTCAGTTGTTCAGTGACCCTGGGAAACAAAGGGAACCCTTTTTAAACATGTGCCACTGAACAACTGAGTAAATGATTCCAAATGGTCCAAACTACACCAAGACATCCAGGTTTTATCTGGACATGAGCTGACACAGGGTGATTCCAAGGGCGCAATCCCAGTGTGTAGTACGAAGACTCTTGGGTACAAGCACCAAGAGGAGGGGGGGTATGATTTCGTTGGCTCTGGACAAATCAAAGCTGTCCGCTGGAAGTTGCACCGATTCTCACTTCGTGGATGGGCCAAAACAAGTCCACACTTTTCGAGTGCCACTAAAAAATGGTCCAACCCCAGCAAGATGAAAGCAATTTGAGCGCCCAAGAAGATGGTCTTTGGCACCTTGACTTGATTGGAACCAAAAGACTCAAACCTACGAGACCAAAATCTGATTCTGATTTTGAGCCACACATCATACGAAACCCTAGCGGTTTAAGTTTTGATTTTGAGCCACACAGTTGAAAAGGCATTCCTCGTTGGGTTTAGCTCAAGCTGGCTCCGAGCTCCTGAGCTCACAACCCAGAAAACTGGCGCATATCGGGCGTCCCTGTTTTTTTGACATTTTCCTGCCCCAGTTTTGTGGTTTTGGAGAGACACCAGGGGCAAAAACAACAGCATCGTGCAAAGTTCCCTGAAAAACACACACACACACACACACCCAGATGATTGCAACGCGCAATCGCCCGTTTCAGCGGAGCAATCGCACACCGATGGACTCGGCAAGCTTTTGACATCCACCATGGCTCTGCGTTTCTTGCAAGGGACGGTTTCTCGAAATGGGAGGGCGAACCCTCAATACAAAGGAGTTCCTTTGGCTTCCCTCATAAAATTGGCACAACAAGACATCAAGAATTGGATCCCCATGTAGAGGACCTCTCCTTTCACCCTCGGATCGGTCGGTGGAATCGCTCACACACGCCCATCAGCAGGATCATCCCTTGACGTTCGGAAGGGAAGGTGCAAAGGGGCAACTTGGGATCGGGGATATGCGGCGATCCAATAAACCTCAGGGGTTCCAACAGACCACACCTGGGATAGGATAAAGGAGAAGTACCTGGGGCAACCATCACTAGCGCATTCCCACCCCCCCCCACTCCCAAAATGGTGGGTTTCTTTTCGTCTGGTGGCAATCTGGGTTCGAAATTCAGGGAGGAGGCAGGAATGCAGAATGCCGTCAAAGCTTCTTGAACTTGGCATCTTCCCTTTCAGCTCCCTTTCAGTTCCCTTCACGTCCCTTCATTTCGCCTTTTTTTCCCCTGTACTTCTTTTCGTTTCCCTTGGCTTCCCTTCGTTTCCCCGCGTTGACCTTCAATTGCCTTTACTGGGCTGCCCGTTTTCCGAGCCCCCGCTAGAAGTTGAGAACTTTTGGTGAACACAAATGGAAACTACCTCTAAACGCTAAAAGGCCAAAAGCTAAGGAACCGGACCGCAGCACCAAGCTTCGTTTCTCTTCGTTTCCCCGTCGATTGCCCGGCGTTTCCCTTCGGTTCCCTTCAGTTGCCTGTGCTTCGCCGCTCCAGATGTTGAGCAGCACCCAGCGTTGCGCCAGACTCGTCCAAGCTCAGCAGCGGCTCAACATCCAGCACCTCCTGGAAAACAAGTGAGTCACAATCAAAACCCGGTATGAAACTGGTCTACCCAGAGCCATGTAAGGAATTAAGAAGGCGGCCGCAGCTAACCCATGTCACTCAATTTGAGCTAAGTGGAGTTGAGTTAGCCGGTAACCCAGGCTAGCCACTTGAGGGTGTCATTTGTCGAGGGTACTTACCCTGGGGTTGGCTTCAGGAGAACCCCACCGGGAAACCAATATTTGTTGGGCCTCCTATTTCCCACTTCCGAAGTGGATTGGCCAAACAAAAAAAGTTCCAAACCTCTTATTATCGCCGTGCATTTGTGTCCAAACCCCCAAAAAGTACACATATCCACACCCACACTTCACCCACTTCGCCCCCACTTCGCGCCTCCACCCCCCCCTTCCCCTCCTGAGCCTTGCGAGCCGAGCCCCCCGAGCCTCCCCGCGCCTGGTAGCGCAGCCTCTGGGCCTCCTGGGGCCGCAGCAGCGCCACCTTCTTCGCGCCCGTGAGCTGCGCCAGCAGGTTCTCCGGGCCGTCGGAGTGGTAGCCCGTGGTCACCGCCCCTGGCGCGCCATACGCGCCACTCGCGCCGACGCCTCCTTGTGGCTCCCTGGAATTCCTAGATCCCAGTGAATTTGGCTGTGGCTCAAAAACCCGGAATTCCAAAATGGCAAGCCCCTGGTAAGTGGAAACATGGATTTCAAAACCTGCGGTTTGCCCCTCCTGTTTAATTTTGAGCCACACCCATTTGGCATCGTTTGCAGTGGGTACGGCTGAGTGCAAACTTCTGGGAAGCTACTGAGTAGACTTACTTGGTATGACCACATCTGCTATTTACTCAGGTCCTCTATACTTCCATCCCCTACTGTGGATGGAGGAAATCCATTTCGCAACACCTAAGCAACCATGGTTGACACCATTGAGTGTTGGTGTTTACAGGAGAATCAACATTCCAGGGCTTCTTAGGTGGTGCAGGATTTCGTCCATCCACAGTACAGTATGGATGCCCTTTGGGCATCCCTTTCAAAACCAGAAGCAAACAAATACACACCCAGCACTCCGCTTGAACAATCCACATGGCCGGCTCCCAAAAACAAACATCGCCAGTGTCAATCTGGAAAGAATAGGTGACCCCCAACCCCCCCAGAGGTGTGCCAGGTTGATGGCCATATTTTTGGGCTGCTTTCTCCCACTCACGGTATCACATGACATGGATATCATGCAGTGTGCACAAGAGGAAATTCTGAGGGACGTGGAGGCAGAAACACATGATCTTGCCAGGACCTTTTTGGTAGTGTGGGGTGGGTGGCCCGCAAGCTTTCGGGTGTTTGTGATGCTAGCCCACGCTCAGAGCTTCCTTGAAGGAATTGTTGGCGATATTGGGCATAGCTTTTGGAGTTGAATGGCCTTTTGCCACTTGCTTGGTCTCGTGTTTTTCTTCTTGTTTAACGGGTTTGGTTCCTTTGCTTACCTGGAGTCTCCTATGTCCCCTTGGTCCTTTCCCCTTTGTCCTTGCCCATAGACAATGCCCAAAGGAACGGGTACATTTTAGCATCTTCTTCATGCGCAAAAAATCTCTGCAACCGGTGGCTGGGGGACTCAGAAATCAGAATCAGACCCCCAAAGGCCCTACATGGGTCCGTCAGGTTTTAGGTGCAGGCCCCACATCCCTTTGAAACCAAGCCTTCAAGAGGTACTGGGGGGGCCCTTATAAAACGAGACACACCCGGGTCGAAAAGGAAACTCACAAAAAAATAGCTCAAGAGTTACCCCGGGCGGCCGCGGGGCCTTTTCTTGGCTTCCCTTTACATACTTCAAAAGCGGGTTTCCAACGAAAAAACACCACTGGACGACACCTTCAAAATGAGTTTCCCTTGAAAACCAACCCCACAAAATGGGTTTCCAGCAACTTTTCAACCACTGGACCACAGCTTCCCCTTAAAACCAACCCAGAAAATGGGCTTCCAATGAAAGACAACCACACACCCCGCGATGTTGTTTCCTCTTTTTTGTTCGGCTTCCCTTTAATTAACACCAACCCACATTATGAATTTCCCGGGAACAAAACAAAAACAAACAACTCCACCACCGGACCACCCACCCTGGGGTCCTTTTGGCTCCTAAGACCGCCGGCTCCGAGTCTCCGAGTCTCCGCACCTGAGGCCAGCCACAGGGAGGGCTGCAGCAGCTCCAGGCCCTCGGCCAAGGCGTTGCTCTGGAGCTGGGCCAAAGCGGCGGAGCCGAGGTCCGCCACCATGGCTTGGTTCATGTAGATCTCCTCAGCTCGTTTTAAGAGCACCGCGATTCTCCAACCAAAAAGGTGAATCAATGTAGTGATACCTTTCATATGGCCATTTTCAGCTCCATGAGTATCAGTACATTGATCAGCTGAGTATCAGTATCAGCTCCATATCAGCTAAGTTATAAGGTTATCTCCTCAGCTCCATTTTCCCTCTTGGTGTGGAGTCGGATCGGTGGTTTGGCGGTTTGGTTCTGTGCCGGAGGGCTAAGCCCCAACCCTCTAAGCCAGGGGGTCAAATTCAGGTGGAGTTCCCCAAATTCCTTGGTTCATGCAGAGCGTCTGGGGGCCTGAGAATGGTTGGGTTTTCCTTTTGGTGACTCTTGGCAGGATTTCCTCAATTTCCGTTTGTGGATCCTCCGTTACAATGGGACAGTTTCAATGGCAACCACCATGTCGATATCCTCCTTCCATCAGGATTGCCCTTCTTCTTTATTTATCTCAGAACCTGACTGGATTGGCCAAACAACAACAAGACTTCTAGGGGTTGAATCCCCATTCTTTCCAACCATCGTTCTTTTAAAAAGCCCAGCTATTTTCCCTGGGTTTCCGGAGGTTTTCTAGAAAGATTCGGATCCCTGGATTCAGAATGGGAAAGGTACCCCTAGAAAACTTGGATCCGCATTTGCGGATCCCAACGTCCTCCAGCTCCCTTTCTGGATCCGTTACGTTTGCGGACAGGCTCAATGGAAGCCACCCGTCGCCCGAGCCACTGGCTCAAAACCCGGTGAATAAAAATGGTCGTCCCAGAACCATGCCAACCAAGAATTCAGAAGGCGGAGATCCGCAGCTATTTATGGCAAGGGGATTGTCCCTTACTAACCTAACCATCTACCCAGGTTTTGATTGTGGCTCACCTGAAAAAGTTGGCTATGGATCCCCCAAAGGTGTTCCTGTTGGTCTTTCGGGGACCCCAAAACCAAATTGCGAACAAAATGACCCCCCAAAAAACAAGGCACCCAATCGTAGATGCAACAATTCCCCAGATTTTCCCACCGGGTGGAGTTCTCCCCCGATGGATCTCCTGACGGCTCATCGAATGAATCCAGTTAAAAGAAACGCGGGCAAGTTCTACTTATTTTTTTGCGGGTGGTGGGGGGGCGGGTGGGAGGAGCCAATTGGTGGGAGGGGTGAAACAAGAGTTAAGGATTTGTAGATCTCCTGTCAGACGAAGAACGAAGAAATAAGGGAGCCAACTGGCATCCCATCAGGGTGTATGTTGTGGGCAGTACTGTGGTAAAATAGTGTGATGGACGAAATCCTGCACCATCTCAGAATCCTTGGAATAATGGATCCCCTCTAAAAATACCAACAAAAAATGGGGCCAACCATGATTTGAAAGTGGTGCGAAATGGATTTTGTCCATCCACAGTATGGCCGTTTCGGTAGGTGTTTGGGAATCAACCATGTGCATGCCCTAAGGAATCCAGGGACTTCTGTGGAGTCATCTTGTTGCCAGTGGCTTCGTGTAGTTCTGCAGGGAGCGAACATGACCCCATTCCCGTCCCCCCAAGAGAAACAAAAGAACACGCAAAGAAGGGATCTGGAATCTTGAACCATTGCATGTCACATGGTTTGACATCGGTTCCCGCTTAAGCCCCAGGGTAGTGTTGACCCCTGATTCATAAACCCTGTCGTGAGGAGGGGAGAGGGGAGAGGGGAGAGGGGAGAGGGGAGAGGGGAGAGGGGAGGAGGGAAGGCAGGGAAGGGAAGTGAAGGGAGGGAGAGAGGGGGAAGGGAACTTTACCACCCCCCCAAAGCAGCAGAGAAGCTCTGACAAAGTGGTAACCCTGTTCTCCCCCTCAGATCCGCCAAAAATGTTTAACTAAAAACTTCCGGAACTCACCCAGAACCAAACCAGTGAGTCATGGAAACTCTCCTTCTCCCCCCGTCCCAACGCGAAGGGCTTTTTTCCTCTCCGCGAAGCGCCGCGAAGCGCGACGAAGCCCAGGCCGTCCTGAGTTGGATGCCGCTGTGCCCAGGCGATGGCGTCCTGGAGCCGCATGTGCCAGGAACCTCAGCCCCGCAACTGCGCCAAGCGAGCGGCGCCGGGCGCTGCTCCCCCCGCGCGGGGGTTTGTTGTCTCAGACTCGCGCTGCTTGGAGAATCCACTCGGTGTGCTTCGCTTTTTAAGGAATGGGAGCGAGCCGAACAAAAGCCTTAAAAGCTGTCCCTCCCCCCCAAAAAAAAAGAAGCAGGGCTTCGGTGTTCCTGTTGGTTGCCCTTGAAAACCAAGAAGCGGGTACCCGTTTCATTTCTTTACCCGTTCTGGGAAAACGTACCACACCCCTAGTGGCCAAAGGAAAAAACAGTACTCTTGTTGTTGTTGGGCAGTTGGTTTCAAAGGACACCACCTCCAAAAACGGAAACCACGGCACCACTCCATGGAGGAGGCTGTAACAGCTTGGAATCGCAAAAGCTTCGGCCTTAATCTCCCCCACGTTCCACTGCCATATTCTTAAATACGTGCCCAAAGGTTCTGAGCGAGGCTTCGAGGTGTACGTTTCATCAGCCCAAATGTATTCTTTTTGTTTGCCGACTATGACGGCTCAGCAGAGTGTACTGAATTACGGTTTGCACGGCACTTTCAAGAAAAACCTTGCCAGGTGGGTCGAGCTCAAACGCACTCCCTCAAACGTGTCTTACACACTCCTTTCAGACTTTTGGTGAGATGCTGTTGATCCCACTTTCTTCCATGGACCAGCGCTTAAGAGAGGTGACATCCGGCTGGGCGTCAGGTGACGGAGAAGTACTTTATGGGTATACCAGTCATGAGAAATGACCCGTACTAGCACGACCTAGTTGAAAGCGCAAACACAACACAGGGATGCTTCGAGGCCGTTCACGGGTTTCCATCATTTGAAGAAAACAAGTCAATCCGTTTCGTGGCCGGTGTCAATCCCGCAGAGTCAATTCATATCGTTTCAATCCACTACAGCGGGTTTCTTTCATTGTTCCAAGGTGTCAAAAGGTGAACTGACAGTCGCCACGTGATGGGTTTGGCTCAAATTTCACTCGATCTCCAAGGATTGGTCATGTCCCCCCTTCCCAGCGATTTGCTTTTCCGTTTCCCTCTTGGTGGTTTGGAGCCGATCGGTGCTTTGGTGCTCAAGAAAAGGCCAGGACCCTTTAGGGTGAGAACCCTCCTGGCCGTCACTGCCAAATCCAATCTAAAGGCGGGTGATGAACCGGGCGATGTCCAACCCACTTAGTAACTCATCAATATCCCCTCATTACTAGGTCCGCCAAGCAAGCTTTGCGGTTAGATACTGGCCGGGGAGCTTAAACAAGTACAAACGTTGGTTACTCTGCTAGAATCATGACTAACGGTCGATTTGATGTAGCACGCACCCTAATCCAAACGTATTTCGGCCCTGGTATCATAGGGGTACCCACTTGCCTTGTATAAGGATGCAGGAATGAGGGCACCCTTTTTTTGTAGTCTATTTTAGCAGAGAATACTCACTTGGATGTCGGGCAAAATAGGTGCCCAAAATGGACCCCTGGTAAATGGAAACATGGACGAAAATCGCAGGACGAAAACCTGCGGTTTTCAGGCGGTTTAGATTTGACCCATACCCACTTGCCTTTTATAGGGGATCTTCCCCGCTGACTCGGTGGGCTCATTTCTTTTTCTGCGCGTCGGGCCCAGCCGGGCCTGGCCGCTTCAAGGTCCAAGGTGGCGCGCCATCCAGCGTCACATTCTCCTGGGCCAAGGGGCCCCATACACCGGGGGCCCCAGGCCAACGGCCGAACCCCACCTGTAGCCCCCCCCGGGGGAAAAACAAAAACGAGCAGAACAGGACACCCTGAGCGTGCGCGCTTCGGTCTTTATGATTGTTTTTTTTGTTGTTCAAAGGCAGGTCCCTTCAAAAGGACATGTGGAATTGATCGTCGAGGTTCCCCAGAGTTTCTATGGAGGAAGGGTAACCTGGAGGACCGAACTAGTCAGGGTGGCTTCCCTGTTTTAGCAGGACAATGAACTAGGGGGGGGGTTCCCTGATTTGTGGAGTCCACATTCATCTGAAGTTGAGAGTCTTGGAGGGGTCCTTCTTAGGATCATTTGTAGAGGTGGGGGGGGGAAAGGAAGAGGGCACCCTCCCTGAAAGGGTTCATGAGCGTCTAGGTATGGGGGCCTTAGAATTGTGAGGGGCTTCCGTTGGTTCCTGAGCCTCCCAAAGTTTGGGGGCTACCGAGTTTCACAAATCAAGGTGCGGATATCCGCACCTATAGCTGGCGGAAAAAAACGAAGAAAACAAAAAAACGGACCCAAGCCTTTAATTACATAAACCATATTCATTGACCCAGACCTTCACTGTATTTCCATGGGGAAGGAAAGGCCCCCATTTGGCCATGGGTCAAAACCCCGTACCTCAGTAAACATCCCAATCCCAACTAAAATGGACTAAAATGGGTGGTGAATTCACCTACCCCAACATGGGATCCCATTGGCTTTGGCCCACAGCCATCTGAAGACCGGCTTCCCCACTCCCAAGACCCTGGGCTTCGTGCCGAGCATCAGCCGCCATGAACTCCGCGGTTGGCTGGAGAAGGTTCAGCGTGGAGGTGCCGTTCGGCACCTACCCGTTTGTGACGAGCTGCGGATGACGTAAATATTGCAAGTACACCAACCATACCCAAAGCCGCGGGAATTATAGCAAGCTAGAGGCGCGTCTCATTTTTTTATGTTGGCAAAAATCAGGTCATCCATGCGGATGCGCTGCAAATTGAAAGTAGGGCTGGGTCCATCAGAGTGGCATCCTCTAAACTACCTCCGGATCCTCGGTTCACTTGCAATGTTTCAGGAATCCACGCAGTAAAGTGCGTACGCGCCGCAACTTAGGGCCGAGGCAGCCAATCCAATCCAGGAATAGAAAGACGCCAGTCTCCAAAACCTCATAAAGATTCCATCCTTGGAACTAGCAACCATAGAATCATTCTACTGATTGATCTGAGTTGCTTTTACTACACCTCTTCAGTTACTTTATTTAGTGCTCCACTGTTAGAATTGTCTTGATGAGTATGTGTATTTCTTAGGACTACGTGTTTATTATTTCTTTGTTAGTTTCTTGTCTATATTATTGCTGTTTACTTGTTGTTTAGCAAAACTCTATTCTTACGCAAACTATATCTTAGATAAAGAGGTTTCCATCATACGGCTTTCTGACATTTGTCTTCACATGTGTTCTTCATCCCGTCCATCTTTTCGTCCCATTATTGTTTCTTTTCGCTTTACTCTTGTCATCAGACAAAACCAGCGATGCGTTCTTTTTGGTAGGAACCAGCCGAGGCACCAAGAGAGACCCATCCATCCGCCGACCTCCAACCAGACGTGCTGTTCACTTGTCCCTTTCCTTTAATATCACTTCGTTTTCTTCTCCTCAAACAAACTTGTGCGATGCGTTCTTGGTAGGAAACAACCGAGGCACTCGGAGTCACCTTCAAAGGAGATCCATCCGACCGCCGACCGGTTCTTCATTTTGTAGGACACAGGCACCCAGAAAAAAACCCACGCCGACCCATCCATCCGACCGCCCCGCCAGCCGTGCTCCGTGCGCCTTGTAGGGGAAGCTGACCTTCACCGTGGCGTTGGGCGCCAGGTGCAGCCACCGCCCCAGCTCCGACGCCGAAGCCGTGCCGTTGGCCAGCAGCAGATGGGCGGCCTGACGGAGGACCTGAGGCGGTTTGGCACGGGGAAAACGTGGAGGCTGGGAGGGGGGGGAGGGGGTGAAATGGGAGGGGAGTCTGGGAAAAAATGGAAAAACAAACAACCGAAACCACGCGTTTGAGTAATGAAACGGGGTCTGGAACAATCAAACACGGAAACCAAGCTTTTGAGTGGTGGTGTATTTGTGGGCGGGGGGGGGGGGAATCCTACATTTTTTCTCCGGGAGGTGGGTGAGGTGTAGAATGAGGGTCTGGAAGAAACACGCCCAGTGAGGGCCCCCCTGAAAACCGGCAGGGGAGAAACCGAAAGTGACCCATCACTTGTTGGTTTCCCTTTGAGTAAAAAACACAAAAACAAAACAAAACAAAACGTGGGCTATATGGCAATCAGTAAGTATGTGTTGGTAGGAAACCAAAACAAAAAACCCGCTTATTTGGGGGTCCTATTTGTTTCTTTTGGCCATTGTCCGCCGCACAAGGAAGGTTCTTGGAACTTAGCAGGCTCCAAGAATCCGGGGGGCCTTGGTTCTTCCCCCAGAAAGTGACTCTGGCCAAGTTTCGGAAAAAACCGGAACGGCACCCGCGCGCAGCGCTCCACTCCGTGGCTTTTTTTTCTTCCGGCGGCTAGGCGGGCATCCAGATGACGCTGTAGGTCTGCTTCAGGCACAGCAGCTCGATCCGCATGCAGGAGTTCGCGGGCGCGCTCACGGACCAGCAGTTCGTTAGACCCTCCTGCGGCCCGTTGATCCGCGTCATCTTCTCGGAGCACTTGTCCTTCTCCGGCGCTACCTTGGACACAGGGATCCGGATGCATTGTACACCTGAACATTGCAACTTGTAAATGGAGGTGTCCCTTTGTTTTGGTGGAAAAAGCCATGTTTCAATTGGGCAGAATGTATCTTTTGAGAGACAAAAGGAGTCCCATGGAAGGAAAAGCAACTGCCTCCAGACGTTCAATCGGGAAACACGCGCAACAAAACCGCCCGGTGTGGGTGGGTGCCCCCAACCGCCCCGGAACGCCCCGGACCCTCTCCAGAACCCTCCAACCTTATGGCCTATCTGAGGCCATGAACCCCCTAGCTTGCGGAAACCAAAGCTGGGCAGCGGGTGTCTTGGGGTCTAGCTTTGCAGGCCGCTGTGTTGGGTATTCGATGCCAAACAAATCCTGTCCCACAAAAAATGGAGGCACCACGCAGGGTGTCTGGAAAACGATCGTTGGCGGAACCCATGGATCACATGAGGGGTCAGCCGTATTTTCCCGTGACGAGGCGCGCCTTTCAGGGCCATTTTCAGGTAAGCTTCGCTTTGGAAAGGGTCCAAGTAGCCTCCCTCCCACTAACATGGCAACTGAGAGGGGGTCCCTTCAAAAGGAAACCAATCTTGCAGGTGTTCCAGGTACCTTGGCGCCCTAAGATGCATCCTCAGAAGGTACTTGGAACGTCTGGGATCGGAATCAGGTTGTTTGGACTTCTTGCCTGAGGAATTGGCAAGTGTTACAACTGGTTGCCTGCGAAATCCGCAGGCGTTCTTTGCTCCTTGTTCAAAAAAGCAGATTCACGTTGACCCCAAATGTATCAACCTCAGTGAATCAGTAGGGGTGTTCCCCTCCCAAAGTGGTCTGATTCCCCACGCACCGCAGGAACACCGCGAGAAAATACAACTGGGGTTGATTCATCTGCTTGCTTGACGTTGGAAGGGGAGCAAAAAACACATCTTAGCAGTTAAGTGAGATTTTCCCACTAAACCACAAGAACCAAAAATGTAAACTGTTTCCCGACAACCGTGTATGGGGTCCACATGACAGGCGTGACTCCCACGAGGACCTTCGGGCTCTGCGTCTGGGGCCCGCGCCGCCTTGTCGCCGTTCTTCAGGAATCGGAACTCCAAGACACCTCAGTTGTGCAGTGACCCTGGAAAAAAATGGAACCCTTTTTGGGGCTTGGACCATGTTTAGTGAGGCAGCCGCTAAAAAAACAGAAAAAAGGAAAAGGGGTGCCACTGAACAACTGAGACACCATCCACCGGCACGAAGACCATCATGGTGTACTGCCCGCCGGCACCCGGAGCCATGCTGTCCTGGATGCAGACATGGCGCCAGGATATGTGTCAAAACTAGGAAACCCCTCCAAAAAGGGTAGGTCCTCCAGTAGAGAGGTTAGAATAAGGGTACCCTTTTTTGGGTAGTCTAGTTTAGTAGAGGAACCCTCCCAACCAAAAAAGAAACGGTAAAAGGGCACCTAGCTGGGGGACCTAGCCAACCTGAGACATGCCTACATTCAACTGCTCCAGAAAACATGATGTTGTCTCCAAATTTGTGTCCTGTGAGTCAGGAGCTGGCTCCGACTGGGCTGTTTGTGTTCTGATCCCTTGCTAAACGTTGAGCTTTTAGTGGATTGGAAACCCCGCTGAACCCCAAAAGCCGAAAAAGCCAAGGGAGCGGCTGAGAACAGGCAGGCTGAGACTGCCCCAAGTGATGGTTTCCCTTTCCTAAATTCGATACACCCAGTTCAAGGTGGGATTGCCTATGGCTATGTAGGCTTCGCGACAACAAAAACAAATCGAAGGGAACAAGTTGCAAGATTTACTCTCACAAGATCTTGATACCTCGCTGAAACTACCCACCAAGCAAGCGGGTACCGCCCTGGATTTAGCAGCGCGATGCCCCATGTTTGAGGGTAATTACACAAAGGGAATATCCACAGTGCTGATGGGAAATCCCTGTGTCATTGATGGGAATTCCTTTGTTCCTATGTAGCACTGTAGGTTCCTATCAAGGTTTGACATAATATTATTAGTGATATAGGGACTGTCCTACATCAAGGTATGTTTGTTGATAGGAAATCCTTTGGCGGACAAGGTCCAAACCACCAGTCACCAAACATCTCCTGGCTGGTTTTTGAGTGTCCGTTCCACCTTCAGGCGAACTTGATCTGCGGAGTTGGGTTGCGAAATCTTCGCGCCAGGTGGGATTGGAGGTTTCTCAGATCAACAGGGATCCTTACATTATACACCTGAACATTGCAACTTGTAAATGGTGGTTTCCAACTTTATTTTGGTGTTGAAAAAGCCAGCCATGTTTCAAATGGTGACGCAAAATGGAGATTTCTTGTAAGGAGCCCTGATCAATCCTTTCTTTTCGGGCTTCATCCCAGGTGCGAAGCGGAGAGGAAGGCTTCCTTCATGCGTTCCCATTTCCAGGGATCCGATTGCCAGAAAACCTGCGGAAATCCGGGGAAAACGGATGCGGTTTTTGGAAATGGAAAAGAAGGGCGAACCAAACCCTATATTCCCCTTGGCACCCAAATGACCATAGCTGTTCGCATGTGGCGAAAATGGTATCGGTTTTTGTGGCTTCCCTAATGGTCGCCCAAGGATATTTTGATCAAGCCCCACATGGATACATGGCAATCACTTAATGTTGAATTCCCACCACCAACATGCAAATCAGTTGGGCCCCAATAATCTGCAAATTCAAGAAGAAAAAAAACATGAAATGCGATTTACCTCCATCATGGGCTTTTGCCCGTTATCCCCCGAATCGGTACGATTGCCATAACACAGGCAGTTGCAGTGATTTTTTTCCATTGGGGGGGTCTCTCAACCGTTTTAGGCCTATTTTGAGAATCCAAGTCTCCTGCTGCCAGTTGTTGAAGTTCCCCGTGATGGTATAAAACTCCTCCAGCTCACGCACATCAGAGGCGTCCTGACGGCAAGTGCTCTCATCGATCAACACAGCACAAATGATCACAGACAACTCTTGACTCACTTCTCCAATTCCTGGGCTTTGGCGAGTGCTGGAGATTTCACATTTTGAATCATTGCTGCCCTGGCAGTGGTTTCCTGGAGGCAAGTGTTCTGATAAGGCAGATGATGTGTTTCTCTGGCGGTAGACCTGAAGCTGATGCTTCAACACCGCCTTTCTGAGTGGACGTTTCTTCCACTTCTCTTTTTGGAATCTTCAAGAGTTCTGGCAGTTTCAATGGAACTCAGCAGTCAAATGCAGCATTCGAAGGGGACATCCAGTGACCCCGGTTCTGTGTTGTCCTTTATTTGTGCGGTCGTTAACATCAGGGAAACCACGGACAAAACCAAGAGTGGCAGCTGCAGCACGTGTCAGTGTGAGGTGTGAGAGGAAGGGAGCAATGTTGACCCCCGGAAAACCCCGGCTTATTAATATGGAAGTGTTCCCCTCCAACAGTGACAAAACCAGCGACACCCCCATATTAATCAACCGGGGTTTCTTAATCCGGGGTCAACATGGGCTCCGGGACTCGACGAGAGCCCGCCTGAACTTTGATCCACTTGATGGGCTCGTCCATGGGGTCGTCTGGCCGCAGCACGATGCTGTAGATGTCACCCTGCTTGGGGTTGGCGTCCGGCAGGTCTGCCTGGCGCAAAAACCAGCGAGAGAGCAGCCGAGCGAGTCGTTTCGTGGGATGGGAGCTTCTCCCACAGGACGCGGAAACAACAAGTGAACCTTTTAGGGGTCTTGACAAAGAATGGGCCGACTTTCAACCAAAAACTCTTTCCAACCCGTTCCTCCCCTCCGTACATCGATTCATCCGGATCAACCATGGCAAGACTAAAAAAGAAAACAAAAAAAAGGACGAGCCAACCATTCTGTCCACCCTAAAATCTCGAAAATCATTCTGGAGGTCCCCCAAAGTAATTCCATTCGACTCAACCTCCATTCGATCCATACGTTCGATTCCCCCCCAAAAACTTGTTTCGATCGCCTCCCAGTCGTCCGGGTTGTTCCCTACCGGCCGGATCTCTGCCGGCGACATCTTGGCGATGCGCCGAAGCAGCAGCGCCTACGCGACCGATGGACCGATGGACCGATGGATTGACGGAGGGAGATTTCGGGAAAAGGAACTGCAGTAGTTATGTTTTTTTGGGGGAGGGTTCCCCTACAAAAAAGACTAAGAACTTATTCTTCCAACCTCTCTACTGCAGGACCTGGGAGGGCAAGTGGTTGATTTAACCCCATGCTGCCTTTTGGCATTTG